AGAAGGGAGCTTTCCTATTCCTACACTTAGTTTCTTGAAAACCCTGTACTACAGTGTACTTCTCTGGGCCCATCCTGGCCACAATGGTTTACACAGCAGTTGTCCATTATACCGTGAGCTTCTTGTGGACATGATTTATGCTCCCCCCGCCTTTTTTTTTGGCTTTTTTCACTCCAGGACTACATGGTCCCTTGTAGATATTTAATATGTTTACTATATAAACAGTGTCTAGAGTTGGTCCTATACTTAAATTTTTCTCCTTTCTTAAAAGACATATTGGCTGAGGATATGGCTCAGTGGCACAAGCACATGCCTGGCATGCGCAAGGTCCTGAGTTCGATTCCAGCAACAAAAAAAAAACCCAAAAGATGTATTGATTTAAAGTTAAAGACATCAGTAGTGTTTGTACTTTGATCCAAGCCATACACACACTTACGGATCTAGAGTACTTACAGCGCTATAAGTAACTCCCTATAAATTCTGAATCTGACACAGACTTTAAGGCCCGTAATTTTGAAAATGCCATTAGATTTTCATGTTTTTTCCAAAAGTAGTTTATACAACTGAAACCTATAGTTACAGAAAACACTAGTTTTTCTTTTGTTTGTTGTTTTGTTGTTTTGTTTTTGTTTTTTTTTTCATTTTAAATCTACTTTGTACTGGGAGAAATTCTTATTTTCTGATTTTATGTTGAAATATGGACACATATGTATATCATTTCTGGAGAAACTGCTGTATGAAATTTAGATTCATGGCACAGTTGTGGCAAAAAAAATTAACAAAGGACGTATATTCAGTAACATACAAAACTTGTTAACACCAAACAAAGCAGTCAATCCAAGCTAACATTGACGTTCCCTAGTAACCTATACAACTAACTAGGAATTCCAACATTTCATATTCTTTAATTTTATAACCTAGGGGAACATTATTAAGCAGATGTCACACACATTACTAAGACTGGTCAAACAATGTAAAGCTCAAGATGAGTCACAAAAGAAATATGCTTTAATTGTTTACCTTCCTACTTGTGGCTAATGAGACTTTTTAAAGAATTCTAATGATTAGATTTTAAAAGGCACAAGAATATAAAGAATATATAAAGAAGGTAGTAAGTAAGAGTAAACAAGTGACAAGGAAGTCTACCTAGCAAGCCTAGTCACTTACTTTTTCACTACGTTCAGCTAACATTTTGAAGCAAACAGGGCTCCTTCTTAATCATTTCTCTATATTTTCCAAGGCCATTAGGTCAGATTGATCCATGACCTACCTTAAGACACATTTCTTAGTAACATAGTAACACCTGCAGGCTACAAACTATTTCTAGTAATTTTCAAAGGAATACGCACATCTGTAGGGAGGCTGAAGCAGGAGGATCACTTTGGGTCCTTGAGGTCCAAGCCAGCCTGGGCAACATAATGAGTTAAGGCCAGCCTAAACTACATTTGAGACTGTGTCTCAAAAGTCTTTCAGAGGGCTGGGGATTTAGCTCAGCGGCAAAAAGCGCCTGCCTGGCAAGCGCAAGGTCGTGAGTTCGGTTCCTGGTACCGGAGAAAAACCAAAAAAAAAAAAAAAAGTCTTTCAGAATAAATACTGTAAGGATACATTCCCCAAATATTAGAACCTGTACTGCAGCTCAATTTAAACTCGCATGTAAACAGGGTGGTCTAGAGCAGACGAGATAAATAGGCCTCAGCCTCTCCCTCTCTCCATTCCTCTCTTCTTATGCCACAGCTGGGCCAGATCTAATTGTAAGACCGACAAAGAAAGGTCTTCAAGAGCAGCTGCGAAGGCCCGTGGAGAAGGTATTCCACGATAACACCTTTGGGAGCCCAGTAAGTATGTATGTTGCCAGACAGGTGGAGGAACAGAAGCGGGGAAGGGAGGGCCAGCTGGTCCTTGAAGTGATAAAACATTACAACCTCTAGCTACTCAAGAAATAGGTAGATTTCTGTGTGAAAAGTAAAATAAAAAAAATAAAGAAGAAAACCCATGCTAAGTCACAGAATATCTGCATTTAGCTTGCACATACTTGTAATTTCCCTATTTTCCCATTCTCAAATGGTATTTAGTTTTAGGCAGAAAGTCTTCTATCAAGCGAGCCTACCTCTGACTTGTCAGAACACCCACCCAAGGCATCATCATCATCCCATTATGCCATGTAGTATTCGGGAGCAAGAAATATTCTTCCAGCCTAGACTGCAGTTAACTTATAACTAAACTACATTTTGTTTTGAGTGTGGGTACTGCTGGTCTATTTTGAATTTTGAAACTAGGGGACGGTTATCTGGGTGCTTTTACAAAGGCCTAGCCTCTAGGCTGCTTCAAAGCAAACAAATAGGAAGAAAGCTTACATCGAAAACCACGTGCCTCGGGTAGGAAGTACATTACCATTCCCTTTCCCGAGAAAGTGAACTTTCCACGTAACCGTAACAAAGTATTTCTAAACATCCGATTTGTCACTCATGTATTTACTTGTCTCACTCTTTTTAAACGAGCCAGGGTTCATTCCTTTGAGACCAAGGAGTGAAAATAATCTCCCCTTAATATTAACGGGGGGGGGGGTTGGGGCATGGAGTAAAAACAAAAGACAGAGCCCTTGGACAGTGCCGAAGCCCCGCGGTGGGTTCCGATGTCAACAAAGTAAAGCGGGGGTGGCAAAGCTCCGCTCGCCCGGAGCCTGCAGGTGAGGCACAGGAGAGTCCGAATTCCGGGGAATTGGGGAGAATCGCGCCCACTGCCGCCCCGCCGGGTCCGCGCTCGGGGTGGGGAGCAGGCCCCGGGTGGTGGCTGCCCACACTCGCACCGCGGCCGCCGTCCCCGCCCGCTCCCGGGCCGGCATGGCCCCCAGGCCAAGACCCGAACTCCGCAGGCGCCGCGCATCTCCGGGCCCCGCGCCCGCCCGCACGTCCTCCCGGGCGAGCCGGCCGGGCTCCCGCTCAGGGGTCCCCAGCTCCCGCCCTTTCTCCACCTCGCCTCGTTCGCAGCAGCAGCTCAAGGTGACACCTCCTCTGGGCGGCGGATCGGGTTGTGGGCCCGGCCCGCGTCCGAGCCCCAGCGCCTCACCTGGCAGCGACACACGATGTCGGCGTCCTGCGCCAGCAGATCCACCACCTTCCCCTTGCCTTCGTCGCCCCACTGCGCGCCCAGCACCACCGCCACCCGGTTCCCTCCCGGCGGCGCCGCGGTGCGGCCGCAGTCACCGTTGGGCAGGGAAGATGCTGCCGGGTTGGTCTCGGCGACCGACATGACTCCAGCGAGACGCGGAGAGCCCGAAGGAGAGCAGGCGGCGAACAGTGCGCGAACTCAAGCGCTCCGCGGGAACCAGCCACATGCGGAGGAAGAAGGAGCCAGAGGCCGGCCCCGCCCCCGCGCGCCCCGCCCCTTCAGCCAGGCCCCGCCCCGGCTCCAACACCGCGGCTTAAAGCGGGACCATGACTGCCCCGCGCAGGCGGACCTCGGCAGCACCTCCCGTCGGAAAGGCCCTGGTGGCGGCAATGGCCGCCGCCTAGGGCTGAGGCCACGCCCCTTCCGTGGCCTGGAGTACCACTCCAAGGCGACTCCCGCAAGCGGAAGGGGCGGGGCTTTGGCTCGTTTTCCCCCGCCCCGCCCCTGCGTCACGCCTCGCCTACCCACCCTTCCTCCGGCTTTCAAACCCGAGAGGCACGTAGGTACTCGAGGAGCGTCGAACTACATTTCCCGGGATGCAACGCTGTGCGTCGCAGCTACGTAACCTGGGGCTAGTTGGGTGCCCTCTGCAGGTTTCAGGGACTGAAAGTGTTCTTTTGATTTTTAAAACATTTATTTTTATTAAGAAAGGCGATAAAGTGTACAAAATACAAAAAAAGTGATTTGAAAATACACACGGGATAGAATTGGACCGTATAAGTTTAGAATTGAAAGATAAAGTTCTAGAAATGAGAGCAGAAATGGTGACAGGAATCAAAAAGGGCAAACTCAAAAGTAAAGCAGTAAAAGTGGAACCAGGAAATTCGGAGATCAAGTAGAGCCCTAACCTGTTTCATTTTACATGTTAGTGACAGCCGCTCGGAGAGAGTGAATTGTCTATTTTATATAGTACATACAGATACAGTAGTGGAATGCACTGGGTTTTTTAACCCCCGCAATCATATAATGTAGGTGGATGCTCTCGTTTTATACGGTTTGCTTTTTTCTTGCAGTTCTGGGGATCAAATCCAGGGTCTCAAGTATGCTAGGCAATCACTCTGCGACTAAGCTACACCCTAGCCCATTTTATAGGATTTGAAAGCTTACTCTAGTGCGGCTGGGATTGGTACTTTGGCAGTGTGCGTTGATACTCCACCCCCTCTTAGCTTCAGTTGTGGGTATATTCCAGAGTACCCCAAATGCTGATTTAATACTGTTTCTACTGCAATACGAATTAACTACGATGTCTAGTTCTGATAAAAATTGCTACCCAGAAAAAGGCGGGGATGGAACAGAATCACCCTAGTGTAGTATCTCCCAAACGCATAAACTGTCATCTTCTGTAATGTCCCCAAAGCCCATTTAGTACAGTATTTTACGATTTCTAGCCAATGTACTGTCAGTACACATTGAGAACCTACTACGAATTAAGACTGCTGAGCACTGGTGACTTAGGAGGATTCAGGTTATTTGGTCTACCGACTAGTAAACATATAAATTATGGTGTATGATAATGTATTTATGTCAGCTTTATTACAAAATAAGCCCTTTGTAAACAAGTACGCTGTCTTATTTGTTCAAAAGTGCCCGAGATAGTGTTGGGCATAAAGTACATCGTGAGAAATCATTACTATTCAGTGTGTCTGCTCCCGGGAAAATGCCGCTAGATACGTCTTTGCTAGGACAGTGGTGATATACTGTCCCACGAATATTTAGGCTAAAAAATACAGTGACTTAAAAATTCTCCTTTTGACCAACTTGTGTTTTTCTCGAAGTGGTTTTGCTGTCCCCCTCCCCAAAATCTGGTATATATTTCCGCACACCAGCTAACTTTCAGGCCACTGTCATCTTTGCCGGCGCGCGTGGCCCGGACGCTGCGCCGAGGACGTTGGGCCGAGGACCTGGTGCCATGTCGCCCACACAAGCGGTCGCGCTGCTGCTGGAGCTCAGCTGCTACGGCTCAGCCCTGTGGAGGTACACAAATGCCGGTTTCGGGGAGCGGGCAGGGCAGGGGTCGCCCCTGGGGCCAAGCCAGCGGAGTCCCTGGCCCTTGCAGACCACCGCCTTGTCTCCCCGCTCCAGGAGCAGATCACCCGCGCCGGCTCCCCGCTCCCACCCCGCCTCGGCACCTTCGGCTCTCTTCTAGTTCGCGCGGAAGGCTGGTGGGACTCATGCTGCTGTCTCCTGGACAGCCGAGTCTCTCTGGACTTTTTCCTTTTTAAATTTTATTTATTAAATTTTTTGACGCCCCCTCTCTCCTGAATTCGTAAAGTAGACCCCCACTCGTTTTTTATCAGTACATGTTAGCAGTACATAAAGTTCACAGTCCTTGTGGGGAGGTCGGAACGTGTACGTGACACATCTTAATTCCCCTTTTCATCCCTTTTCCCTCCTCTTCCTCCCTCTCTTGATCTCCTTCCCATTTGAGAAAGAACTACTGTTTCTTCCTACTTCCTACTATCTTTCTTATTTTGTTCTTTATTTATAATTTGGGCTTCTCTTATAAGAGAAACCATGTGATATTTAAGGTTGTGTGTCTGACTTATTTCGCTTAACATTATGGTCTCAAGGTGCATCCTTTTTCCTACAAATGACTCACGTTTATCTTTCTTTATGGCAGAGTAGTACTCCAAGTAAATCTCACATTTTCTTCATCCATCTGTTGATGGACGTATAGGCTGCTTTCCACTTCTGAAACCTGCTTCCGGAATAGGAGAAGAGTAAATGAGAGCCGAATGTCACCGCCAGAGAGTAGCAGGGGGAGGCATTTTACTAGCACAAGTAGTAGTGGATACAGGTATAAATATACAGGTAGTTGGAACAGAGTAAAAGTGCTTTATAAGATATAAACGCTTTATAAATGTAAGGAAATGTAATTTCTGTAAAAGGTGAGTTGAATGAAAATGTAATTTTGCATGCCTATATTTGGTAATCTGAACAACTACTTTGAAGGTAACAATAGGCAGTATAACAACCATTGTTAATTTCCTATCATCTTGTTTTGAACTTCTGTATCGTTTTTAGTGTTTTTTGAAATTTTTTATTTCCTTTAAAATAGAAAAATTTTAAAAATTTAAAAAATACTTTGCCAGACATAAGAAAATAATAACTGATATCAAGTACTTTCATGTTTTCAAATCATTTAAATTAATTGTAACTAAGCATCCATAATTAAAATTCTTCATACTATAAAAAAATAAAGTTCTAAGAGATTTAATGCAGGTTTGATTTTTGTTTAGTATTTAGTAATTGCTGCGTGGAAAGTGTATAAAATATTTTAGAAAGATTTTCAACATACTCAGGTTAAAATCTAGCTGATTAATCAGAAAATCACATTCTTCAAATACTTTATTTTTGCTATAAAATAATTATTCTCAACGTTAATATTTAAGAATACCAACAATAAGCCATTGTAGAAGTTTTCCTACAGTGAGGAAAAGGCTTTCCTTCTCAAAGTATATTTCACTGGATAGAACATCTTGTTGGATTATTATGAGGCTTGACTATACTGGTGTATTTAGAGCTCTCAGCACGTGCAAAAGATAGATCCATAAGCAATGATAGCTGATATTAATGATGACCTGTGAATTCAGGGAGTTTATAAGCTTTTTCACTTTGAACACCAGAGGTCACCAAACATTTCTGTAAAGGAGGGCAGGGTAAACATTCTAGGCTTTTTCTGGCAATACAATTTATGTTACAACTGCTCAGATTTCTGCCCTAGTAGGGGACAGCACACGCCAACAATAGTAAACAAATATGTGTGATTGTATGCAAATAGAAATTTATTTATAAAAATGTGGAATTTGGCTTCCAGGGCAGTTTGCCAATGCTGATTGACATACATGACTGAAGAAAATGCTCAAGTTCAATTAGATGTTAGTGAAAACAAAGATGTTATCTTTTGTTATGGCAGTTACAGAGTCTCTGACTTTTATACCTTAATAAGTTGTTCTTTTAAATAGTATAATTTAGGGGTTGGGTATGCAGCTCAGTGGTAGAGCACTTGGCTAGCATGTGTGAAGACCTGTGTTCAAACCTCAACACTACAATACATAAAGGACAAAATTTCTTAAATTTAACATGATTTTAAAAACTATTTTATTGTTAGCTTTTGGGGGAAGTAAGGTGAGAAGTTTCTTGGTTAAAAGACTCTTGCCTGCCTCAAGGTCTGTTTTTCCTTCTAAAAGCTTTAACATTTTGTTTTTGATATTGAAGTTTGTTAAATAAAATCCACGGGAGACCATTGTTTAGACTGAACTCTGGCAGCAGCCCGAACAGAACAAACCAAAATGGAGTTGCTCACGCTAAAGTTCCACATCCCCAAACCCAAACCAAGTTGTTACTGACTGGAGAAATCTGGAGGGGTAATACCCAAACTCCAAAACAGGTCCACTTCAGTCCCTTGATAATTAAGTTCCCTCTGCTTTAACCCTTACAAAAAGTAACAGAGAAAACAACTTGATGTTTATTAATCAGTTATTTTTCTATTGTTCTGTTTCCAAGTTTAGGCCTTACCAAAAGAAAAAAACAAAAAAACTTTGACCAGTCTGTTTTGTCCTGTGTTTCTGCTTCCATCAGCCTTTTTCTGTCCGTGCAACCAACTTGCTCTACTGAGCGGATCAGAACACTTTATAGAATGAAGTGTTGTCCCATTGTAGGGTTGTAAATAAAGCCAATTAACATCTTTAAATGATGGTAACTTTGTCCTTTACAAGTTCTCCATCCCAGTGCAGTTGGTTTTTCTAAATGATACGAGGTAAAGATAGTTTCTTCTTTTTCCTTATGAATCTAGATCCATTTTTCTAGGTTCACTTATCAAACAATCTTTTCCTCAGTTGATCAGACATATCACCTCTGTCCTATATAAAATTTTCTGGTTTATTGTTATGTTTGTTCCATCGTTGATCAGTTTGCCTGTTGTTGTACCCATGCCAGATGTCTTAATGAGTGAGGTTCCTAATAAGTCATAATATCTCAGAGGGCAAACCTTCCATTCCCTGTTCTTTTTCCACAAGTGTCTCGGTCATTCTTGAGCCTTCACACATTCACACAAATTATAAAATCAGAAAATCAAGTACCACAAAGCCCCTTTTAGGATTTGAATGGAATTGACAATGGCTCAAAATGAATCTTTGTGAATATCAAACCTTCCTATTTGGTAAGCACTGTGTAATCTCAGATTTTCTGCAGAAATTGCTCTCTCTGTCTCTGTAGTATGCTTTGTGAGGCTTAGACTCTCTGAGTTTCCTGCAGTTGTCCTTGTGAATGTTTTCATGTGTGCTCTTGTCAGATACCAAAGAGCACAACGTTCCCAAGATCAGTTCCTGGATACGTATAATGGGGTGAGATAAAGAGAAGACATTTGAGAGAATATGGTTTACTCAGATGCCATATTTTACAGGCTGGACAGAGAGAGGAAAAAGTGAAGTCAGGAAGGGACTCATCTATTGGGAGCTGAAGGAAAGGGTAAAGGTTAAGGATGCTTGGGAGGAGGGTCCTGGGGATGGGACCTGGGACTGTGTACCTGCTAGGCATGCACTCCACCACTGAGCTAAACCCCCAGATTTTAAAGACCTGGCTGGTAGGATGGGAATACTTCTGACAGCAGGAAAGATAGACTTTTATGGTTCATGCGTGAGATGGTAGTGATTCTCCATTACAAAAACAAAAAACAAATAATACAGGGACCGACTTCACATGCCACAGCTTTGAGTCTCTCAGATCCATTTTCAGCAATAGTACATTAAATATTTGCAATAATTAAGAAAGCAAAGATGAAAAGTATAGCATACCTGTCTCAGACTAAATTAATAAGTGAAATATGACTCCTTTAGCTACAGTTTCCTCCACACACTATTCCCAGATCCAGAAGGAGAAGCAGATAAAGGAGCAGCTGGAAAGGACCTGCCAGGAAAGGTAGTTTTATCATTTAGCCAGCAGGTTCAGTTCATAAGTTAAACTGTGTACTCTACCTTTGTGAATTAGAATATAAAATCTGCCATTGGGATTTTTCTTTCTCATGAGGTTTTTGTCTCTTTATATAATGAAAGGGATCTTATATTAAATACATAAAAAAATGGAAGGTGATTCACTTTTACTAGAAAAAGTCTTTGATAAAAATAAAAGTACACTTCATTTTACATTAGGAGGATATATAAAACACATTAGCATGCTTTCTTGTTCGATCTGTGTGTATAGAAATGTGGTTCATTATTTTGGTGACTGACGTCTATTTGGAAAAAGAATGCAGAGCTCTGTTAAGGCTTGTATAGTTGTGCTCAGAGAATTCCATAATGAAATCCTAGCACCGTCTCCCACATACACAGAAAAGATATGCTTCTGGTTTAAAATTTTAGGGGTGGAGAAATTCCAGTGGCAACTGAGGAGGCAATATAGATACAGATTATTGAAGTGAAGGTAGTGTGAAGAAATTTTTAAGGATGTGTTTTATGATAGTCCCGGGGCACATGTGGCTTTTGAGCCCTTGAAATTGGAGTGTACTGTAGATGGAATACACAAATCAGATGTGAAAGTCTTAGTAGAAAAAACTGTACACTACCTCACTGATAATTATTTTGCACTGGTTACATATTAAATTGTATTATGAAAACTAATTTCACCTACTTATTCTTGTGATTTTAATATGGCTATAGAAACATTGAATGTGCATAGGTGACATATTATATTTCTGTTGGACAATGATGCTTTATCTGGATTAGACAGAAAATGAAGTACCTGGGATAGCAGTACAAACATGACCAGGAGCAAGGACCCACTGAAATTGGCTCTTCAGTGTTCCAAATGAGAAATACTAGTTTTTGAAATTTCAGTCTTTGTTATCTTTATTTTAGCTCAGTTTACAGTGAAGGAGTTTGAACCAATAATCTTCAACAGTGTCTATAATCAAAAATGTATTTCCTTCTCATTTCATTTTTATATCTTCATGTCTTAGTTACTTTTCTCTCTTGTTGGGACAAAATACCTGATGCCCAAAATTAAGGATGGGAAGGTTTATTTCGCTTACAGTTTATGGAGGTTTCGGTCCATACTTGGCAGGTTACAAGGCAGAGTGGCACATGGCAGAGGGCTACAGCTCATAGAGGCAGAACACAGCAAAAGCAACAAGCCGTAAAAGGGAGGAATGGCGGCAAGCAGCCTCTTCCTCTCCCTTACATATACAAACTATCCACCCCGGGGCAGATGTAGCTCTCACACCCATAATCAGTCAAACTCTAAAAGCCTGCCCCATGACCGCATGAGGCTTTGGGGGGACACCCAGACACAAACCATAACACTGCAGAAAACCCTAACAAGCCTAGAGTGGTGGCTGGAGGTCCCGGAACCTCAGTTTTACCTCTGAGTTCACTTTCCAGAAAAGTCCCTAGACAGAAAGATAAAGCTTTTGCCCGCTCAGCTGGGCCTTGGCCACATGTAGAGCCACTGTATTTGGAAAAAACTACTGTTAATGGTCACATCTGATCTTCTCCTCTGCAGGTACTCAAGTAAGAGCCCGCACCATCACATTGTTAGTACCAGAAGTGCTGTAAGTGTTGAATTTTCTTAAAAACCACAGTTAAATATGAAATATTTTGAACCTTGAATGGAGAGTAGAGTTAATCATTCTGTTTTATTTTTATTTAATTGCCTTCATCCCATTTGTCATCCTACTGCAGGTCCCTTCTCCAATATATGTTCTTAATCTATATTTAGCAAAAATCACAGTGTTGCTTTCTGAATTTATGATTAATATTCACAGAATGATATCATGATATGGACAGTATATTGTCAAAAACCTGAAGTTCTGAGAATGGAGAATACTATTAGTAATTATTTAACAAGTAATTGTACAACAAGGGTAAACTGGATCTGTCTAAACCAAACCGAGATAGCTGTATGGTCATCCATATTATAGACCTTATTTTCTGTATTTTTATTTTGTTTTTTAAATTTAAGTTTATTGTTACAGTTTATATATACATATTGACCACATTCATTATAGAGAATTTGTACCTGTACATAATATATCTTATTTCCTCTTTTTTCCATTCCCATCCCCTCTTTTCAAACTCCCTTCCCCTCCCCATTCACAAAGCTCAGTTTTCATTTTATCCTTCTTTTCTCACTTTTTTCTTTCCCTTTCTTCCTTTCCCCTTCCCCCTCCCTACTCCCCTTTTCCTTTTGCATTTTTTTTGTACCGGGAATTGAGCTCAGGACCTTGCACTTGCCAGGCAGGGGCTTGTGCCACTGAGCTGTATTCCCAGCCCTCTTTTCCTTTTGAACAGTTTCTTCCTATTTCACAGTATCTGTTGTACATTTATGTTCTTATTTACATGTTCAATTTCTCACACCAGAGAGATAATGCTATATTTACACACATGTCCAATTTATTTCATTTATGATTATAGTCTCAAGGTCCATCCATTTAGCTATAAATGTCTCAACTTTATCTTTCTTTATAGCTGAGTAATACTCCATTATAAAAAAAAATCTTTTTTACCCATTCATTTGTTGGTGGTCATTTGGGTTGCTTCCAAGATTTAGCTATTACAAACTGTGCCTCTGTAAACATGGATATGCATATATTGCTGTGGAATGATGCTTTTAATTCTTCTGGGAAGATACCCAGAAGGGGAAGAGCTGGGTTGAATGGAACTGCTAATCCTACTTTTCTGAGGAATCTCCACACTGATTTCCACAGTGGTTGCACCAGCCTACACTCCCACCAACAGTGGAGAAGTGTTCCTTTTTCCCCACAGCCCCACCAGCATCTGTTATTAGTTGTTTTCTTCATAATACTCATTCTGCAAAATGTGTCTTCATCTCAGATACCCATTTTTGGATTGGGTCTTTGAATTTGGAGGGTCTGATTTTGTTTTTAGTTTTTTATATGTTCTAGTATTAATCCTTTGTCTGAAGAACTTCTGCCATAAATTTTTTCCCACTCCGCAGGTTAGCTTCACTCTGTTGATGATTTCTTTTGCTGTGCAAAACCTTTTTAATAAGATGAGATCCCAGTTGTTGATTCTTTGTGATTAATCCTGTGCAATCGGTTTTGTTCATAAAGTCTTTGCCTACACTTATATCTTCCAGAGTTCTACCTATTCTATCCTTCAGCAGATTTAGCATTTCTCTTTTAATATTTAGATCTTTGATCCATTTTGATTTTAGTTTGGTGCATAATGATAGGCATGGGTCTAGCTTTAGTCTTCAGCATGCAGAAAGCCAGTTTTTCCAGCATTATTTATTAAAAAGGCTATCCTTTTTCCAATGAATGTGTTTGGCCTCTTTCTTTGTGAAAGATAAGATGGATGAGTGCTTTCAGAGTTATTTCTGCATCATTTCTTCTCTACCAGTGATCCTCAGGTCTATTTTTTTGCCATTACCATGCTGTTTTTATCATTCAAAAATCAATAGCATGCTTGTAGATGAATAACAAACTCACTGAGAAAGAAATTAGGGAAACAATACCATTCATAACAGTATAAAAATGAAATAGTTAGGAATCATTCTAATGAAGGAAGTAAGACCTTTACATTGAAAACTACAGTTCTTTGAAAAAGGAGATTGATGAAGATATCAGAAAATGGAAAGATATCCCTTGTTCTTGGGTAGGAAGAACCAATATATGAAAATGGCCATACTCCCAAAATGTCTATACAAATTTAATGCAATCCTGATCAGAATACCAATAGCATATCTCACAGCAACCCAAATGCTCATTGGAGAAAACAATCCTAAAATTTATCCAGTTACTAATTTATCTAGTATCCAGCTACTCTACTGAATCTGGTTATTAAATCTACAAGTCTTTTGGCAGAGTTTTTGGGTTCTTCTATGTAGAGTATCATGTCATCTGCAAAAAATGATAATTTAACTTCTTTTCATATCATTATTCCTTTTATTTCTTGCTCATGTCTAATTGCTCTAGCCAGTGTTTCCAGAACTCTATTGAATAGGATTGATGATAGAGGACATCCTTATCTTGTTCCTGATTTTAGAGTGAAAGCTTTTAGTTTTTGACCATATAGTATGATGTCGGCTCTTGGTTTGTAATAGATGGCTTTTATCAGATTGTGATAAGGACTATTTATTCCAATTTTTGTAGCATTTTTAGCATGAATAGGTGCTGCACTTTGTCAAATGCTTTTTGTGCAACTATTGAGATGATTGTGTGATTTTTTGTCCTTTGCTCTGTTGGTTTCTTTTGCCATTAATTTCTAGTTTCACTGAACTATAATCTGATAATATGCATATTATAATTTCAGTTCTTTTGCATTTACTTAAACATGTTCTATTAGGTAATACGTGGTTTATTTTGGAGAAGGTCCTGTGTGCAGTTGAGAAAAATATGTATTCTTTTGTTGGGTGGAATACTTTCCAAATATATACTAAGTGCATTTGTTCAAAGGTCTGGTTCAGCTCTGATATTTCTTTGTTAATTTTTTTTTTCATCTAGTTAATGTATTTGTGACAGTGGGATATTGAGGTCCCAATTACAATTGTGTTGGAACTTATTTGATGTTTCATATCCATTAATGTGTATTTGGTACTGCTGCACTGGTATTTGGTGATACATATTTATCATGGATTGTTCCCTTTACAAGGATGTAGTGACCTTCTTTGTCTCTTCTGATCAGTCTTGGCTTGAAATCCACTTTGTCTGCAAACAGAATAGCTATCCCTGCTTTTTTATGGGTTCTTATCTCATAGAGTATTGTTTTCCATCTTTTGACTTTCAGTCTATGAATTTCTTTTTGAGTTAAATGTTTTTCCTGTATGCAGCATATTGTTGGATCTTGTTTCTTGGTCCATTCTGTTTCTTTTGATTTGTGAATTGAGACCATTTACATCAATGGTAATTGATATGTATTGACTTCTCCTTGTCATATTATTTTCCTGCTATTGGTTTTCTTCTTTCTCCTCTGTTTAATTTCTTATCTTGCCTAGTGAATTCATTCTACTAGGATTTATGGAGTTGTTGTGTTTTTCTGGAATATCCTTCAGAAATTCTTAGAGTACTGGTTTGGTGGTCATGAATTTCTTCAGGTGTTCTTTGTTACAGAAGCATCTTACTTCTCCATCAATTTTGAAAGATAGTTTCATGGGAGTACAACAGTCTGGGTTGGAGATTGTTTTCTTTTAGAGCTTGAAATACTTCACTCCAAGCTGTCCTTGACATAATGGTTTGTATTCAGATGTCTGCTGTAATTCCGATGGCCTTCCTTTATAGATGATTTGTTTCTTTTTTCTAACAGCTTTTTTTTTATTATTTTAAAGAGTAAAAGAAGGATAACATAATAATAGGGGGGGCATACCAAATTACAGACAAAGTGGTAGGAAATTATCAATGGTTATTGGTTTACATATTGTTATCTACAAGATAGTTTCTCAGGAAAACAGACAAATAATAGTTAGTTACAGACAAAAGAGGTAGGAGATTATCAATAGTTGTTGTGCTATACTTTGGTATCTTCAAAGTGGCTTCTAAAGAAAATAAATAGAGCTATACATGAGTGACCTATTGAATAATCATTAACTTTTCTCAGTGGTTGTTGTAGGAAACACATAATAATAGACATGCATCCATTTACGAAACAGGATAGGAACAATACAAACATTGCAGAGTTATGGATAGATTAGTACGAAAATATCAATGGCTGCTGTAATACATGGTGGTATCTTCAAAGTGGTTTCTCAGGAAGACAGATACACAAGAAGGATCTAACAAGTAGTTACAGCCTAAGAGTTGTCAAAAATCAAGTGAGCCGTCTGGGGTGAAAGCCATTTTTTGTAGCGTTTTCTGTCCAACAGCTTTTAATATTTTGTTCTTGTGTTGAATTTCTGGAATTTTGACTATTATATGTCTTGGTGCAGTTTTATCTGATCATAGCTAATTGGAGTTATATGCCTCCTTATCTGTATGTCAAATTCTTTTTTTCATGCCTGGGAAGTTTTCTGCCATTACTTCTGTGAACAGCTTTTTTTTTTTAATGTCCTTTGTACTATCTTCTGATTTTTCATCAATTTTGATCAATCTTATGTTATTCTTCTTTGTACAATCTAGTAACTTTTGGGTTGACTTTTCATGGTCCCTTCCTATTTTCAAAAAGTCTTTTATTTGATAATCACTAACCACAAACCTGTCTTCTAGATCTAATATTATGTCCTCACATTTGTTCATTCTGCTGCATATAATTTCAATGGAAATTTTAGTCTTCTGGATATCTCTTTGAATCTGTTTCATGGAATCCAGTTCTTTCCTATGTTGGGTATTTATGATTTCCATTACTTTCCTAAGCTCTGCTGTTTTTAAATTTGTATCTATTCTAGGTTCACTAACGATGTCATTCATTATGGTCATCATCTCTTTTGTTATCTGTAAAAGTACTGCTGATTTGTTTTTTTAGGGACTTACATTCTGCTTTGTTAATTCTACTGCTACCATTTCAGAAAGTTTAGCTGGGTGAGTTGATTTCTTCCATTTCAGTGCCTCCTGGATTTGCCTTGGGTGAGCTAGAGGTCTGCAGTTGCATCTTGCTTCCACATCTTCTCATTTTCCATTTTTAATAATTTGTTTTCTGTGTTGATGCTTGTAAATTACTTATGATAGGTAACTGTACTACTAGTATCAAGACCTCCTTTGGAAATAACTACTTTTCAGAGATACCTTCTAGGTGTAGCTGGCTTTTGGCTTTTGACTCTGTTCCAAGATCCTGCCTCTTCTATTTATTAGGCATTAGAAGTTGCTGCCTATTTGGCCTAACACCCAGTTCTTTGGTACCACACGATGGTATTATGACCCCTAGAAAATCTCAATATTGGCATACAAGGAAGAGCAACTGATCCCAATTACTATGGCAAAGTAGTACAATCAGTAATAACAATAGCATCAAGTAAGTCTAGAAAATGACAAATCATGCTATTAATTTGTCACCTTATCTATAGGTACAAGATTTATAGTTATATGACAAAATCTAAAAGAAATCAGAAAATTATATACAGTAAATATCCACTCAATAGAGTGATTTTACCCTTAGCTGAGAAAATTTAAAAGGGATAAGGGGAAAAAATAGAGAAATATAAGAAGAGAAGAGATTAAAAGCAAGCCTGAAGGACAAAGGAAGATTACCCAAGGTTTGGGAAACTGGTGAAGAAGGCAGGAGGGAAAGGAGGAAGGAAAAAAAAAGAAAAACAACAAAAAGTAAAAAAAAAAACAAAAAAAAGTATTTACACTCCCAAAAAAAAAAAAAAAAGAAGGAAAAAAGCAAACCAACAAAAATAATTTTCTCTGTAATTGCAAGCCTGTGGTTATCTTCTGGGCTCTACAGGTTTGCAGCTGTGTTCAATTCAGGGCTGTGACTCTACTGTCACTGGTAGAGAAAGGAGGCTATCAGAGTCCTGATCTATGCTGCATAATCCCAGCAAACCTGCAGTAGGATCAGTGTGGGGTGTTGACTCTGGTGCTTTCAACTCCACAGGAATTTAGGCTCAGCCCGACCTCTGACCTCTGATATAGAGGCTAGGGCCTGAGTTGTTCAGCCTCAACAGTTTGGATGTCTCATGCTGACTGACCATGGCTCCCTGACTGTAGATGTCTCCTGCAGTTGTCCCTCACCCAGTCACTGTGGGATTTCCACACTAGGAGCCCTGAGATGAAATCAATACACAGCTGCTCTGAATCCTGAGTCTTGAGTCCTGAGTCCTGAGTCCTGAGTTCTGAGTTCACTTGCCCCTCCCTAAAACAGCGTCTGGCCAAGGATGCTCTCTAGAGGACACAGCAGTCACCTGGATGGAGTCACTCACCAACTGCTTTAGCACACAGCATCCACCACTCCATTCCACTGATGCAATTTTCCTTGAAGGCCTCTGCAGTCACCTGCCCTCGGTGTGTCTCTGTAGATTCAGTCCTTTCTCCTTCTGTGAGCTGGGAGCTGGGGACAAAGTGCCGTTTGTCCTCTCCTTTCTCTGCACTGTGGTTCACTTTCTCTGTGGGCTCCAATTTTCCCTTCAGATCCTTCCTGGGGCACAGTGATCCATTTCCCTCCTTATTTTCTTCCCCAAGATGTTATTTTCCAGTGTCTGGATTCCAGGTCTTGAAGCAGTTGATTTGTTGCTACTTACCACTCTACCATCTTCGCAGATGTCTGATAGATTATATTTTAAGTAAAATGAAATTAAAAGTATTTCATTTGTGGAGTTGTGCTAGGATGGCCTGGAGTTCAATCTCCAACTCTCAATTTTAAGTTTGTGTTTAGATTTTTTTTTCATTTTGAGTGCTTAGGGTCAAACTTAGGGCCTCACGTATGCAAGGCCATCATTCTCCTACTGAGCTAAGACCCTCAGCCCAACTTCAGAGATTTTTTTGGAGTGATTACTGAAGTGTTTCATCAAGCTACTTTTCTTTGTCATATTACTTCCAAAGAATTAAATTTTAGTTATCCTTTCTTTAAATAACAAGGACTCCAAATTTGAACTCTACAACTGAACCCTGAGGTGAATATTGTGAAATAGTTTTTCATCTGAATTATGTTACTATTTTTTAGATCAAGTTAGAGTATGAAGGAACATTATTTTCTGAGTGGCAAGTACCAGAAACCTGTTCTATCAAAGATAAAAGGTAAGATTTTTTAACTGTGAATATCAGTGTATTTACATGTAAAAAAGCATTTATATAATGTGGACATTCAGATTCAAGGCTGTGATTTAAAGTACATTTCCTTCCATCCATGAAACAGATCTGAAAACAGAGACAAAATCATTCCAAAAATATAATAGAAGTAAAATATTTCAATGTTTAAAACTTTCTCATATTACCATATAATAATTGAAGCTTTTAGGTTAAAAAATAGTGGGGGAATTTTCATTAATCTCATATGCATCTGTACTTATTTCTTCTTTCCTGTTCTTTTCAAATGCTAGATCACCCAAGACAGAAATGCATTGTTCTGAGGGTGTTCACGCTATAAAACCAATTGTTACAGGCCAAGTAAGTTGATTTTAATGATAACTTATTGAATCTGGAATAATAATCTCTGTTATAATTTCTTTTGATTTCTTTTGAGCTTTTCAACCTCATTTAATCTGCTTTAAATAGTATTAACTATAACTCCAAATGACAGTTATTTTAAAATTTTTGTCAGTATGTCATTAACTTTTAGGTATATTTCATGTCAAATTATGAATTATAAAGTAAAAACTTATTTTTATCCTAGTTAATAAAATTTTGTTCCTTAATTTATTTATTTATTCATTCTCATTCATTCCTTCATTCATTTGCAGTGCTCAAAACTGAACCCTGGGAAACACACATGCTAGAGAAAGGCTATACCCCAAACCTCTACCTTATCCTTTTCATTTTTACTTATTTTTATTTTTTTCTATTTTTTATTTTTTCATTTTATGGAAAAAAGGTAAAACAAAATTTTATAACAAAATAATAGCAGAATAATAATAGTTAACACATTACATGTTGTTATCTTTAAAGCAGTTGCTCAGGGTACAAGATATGGACATAAAAATTTCTCCAATCGATATTAGCACAAACCTTCCTATTTAATGAACTAAGAGACAGTAACTGTATAATTGACTTGCATTTTTCCTTTTTCCCTTTTCCCTACTGTCCTTTCCCCTTTTACCCATCCTAGTTCCTTTTTCTTCCAATCTCACATTTTCTGTTGTACATCTTAGACCTTATTCACTCTTTCAGTTTTTCATACCAGGGAGAAAATACAATGTTTACACATGTGAGTCTGATTTATTTCACTTATGAGTATGGTCTCAAGTTGCATTCATTTACCCATAAAAGTTTCAAGTTTATCCTTCTTTATGGCTGAGTAGTAGCTCATGGATAGGAAGAAACAACGTAGTGAAAATGGCCATAATACCAAAATTGCTATACAGATTTAAGGCAGTCCTGATCAAAGTATCATTATCGTACCTCACAGACATAGAGAGAACATTCCTAAAATTCATTTGGAACCAGAAGAGACCTAGAATAACAAAGGCAATCCTGGGCAACAAAGGCAAGGCAGGGGACATCACAATCCCTGACTTGAAACTATACTACAAAGGATAAAATCAGCATGGTACTGGCAAAAAAGCTGACCTGAGGATCAGTGGAGCAGATGAGAAGATGCAGACACAACTACAAACACACTCAGCCACCTTATCTTTGACAGAGGGGCCAAACATGTTCACTGGAAGAAAGATAGGCTCTTCAATAAATGGTGCTGAAAAACTGGCTTTCTGTATGCCGAAGACTAAAACTAGACCCATATCTATCACCATGCACTAAGCTAAAGTCAAAGTGGATCAAAGATCTAAATGTTAAAAGAGAAACACTAAATCTACTGGAACGAAAAAAAGGAAAAAAAAAATCTACTAGAAGAGAAAGTAGGTAGAAATCTTAAAAACATAGAAAGTTCATGAACAAAACCAAGACTGCATGGAAAATACTTCAAAGAATCAACAACTGGGATTTTATCATATTAAAAAGTTTTTGCCCTTCAAAAGAAATCACCAACAGAGTGAAAAGACCACCCACAGAGGGGGAAAAAATTTTAGCCAATTGTCCCTCAGACAAAGGACTTCTATCTAGAACATATAAAGAATTGAAAAAAATCAGACCCCTCAAATCCAAAGACCCAATCCAAAAATGGGTATCTGAGATCAATACACACTTCTCAGATGAAGAAATACAAATGGCAAATAAATATATGAAAAATGTTCAACATCACATCATTTGAGAAATGCAAATTAAAACAACACTAAGATCTCATCTCAATACAGAAAGAATGGCTTTCATCAAGAAATCAACCCATAACCAATGTTGGAGGGACTGTGGGGAAAAAAGAACACTCCTCCACTGTTGGAAGGAGTGTACACTGGTGCAACCACTGTGGAAATCAGTGTGGAGATTCCTCATAAAACTAGAATTAAAGGTCCTACTCAACCCAGCTATTCCCCTTCTGGGTATTTTTCCAGAGGAATTGAACATCATACCACAGCGATATATGTGCACCCATGTTTATAGGAGCACAATTTGTAATAACTAAATCTTGTAAGCAACCAAAATGCCCATCAACTGAGGAATGGGGAAAAAAGATGTGGTATTCTCATCCTTTTTATTGATAAATATGCTGAAGTTCATAGCCACTGCTTTAATGAATATAGTACTCTCAGATAAATGGGTTTCACATCATATACTCCCATGACACAATACCTAGAACAACTTTTAGCAGACTTTTTTATTCCATTCTATTTTCTTCAGTTCAAGAAAACATATAAAAATGCAAAGACTGAGAACAATGCTGGGTTTTCTCTAGTTTGCCTAACAAAATGTAAAGGATTTTTAAGGCTCTGGTATTTTAATGTTAGTAACAAACTACTGGCCACATAACTGATGGCTGATGTTCCCATACAAGTGTATCTAAAGCTACTGCTACAGAGACTCCCTGTGACGACTCCTGCATTTACTCTGCAGACTTGTGCCTTCTCTTTAATTACCTTTATATTCAGGCCACAGGTAGAATGTATGAAAGAGGACAGGTGAATAATAACTCATTTTTAAATGCCAGTGGAGTGAAAAATATTTGAATTTGTCTTTTTGAGTCTGAGTATTTACAAGTTTCAAGAATTCATGAGGAAATAAAGGACTTATCCCTTTTGTTTACATTGGAAGTCATATAAATGTATAATGTATTAAAATATGCACATACATATCAGGTTAGTAACCCTTACTTATTGCGGGTTGATCAGGCCCACAAACTCCCAAATGACTGGATGACAAAGGCTTAAATAAATGAGACAATTAAAATGACTTTAGGGCTCCAGGAGGGTCTAACACTCTTACAAAGTTTAAGATTTTCTGGATTAAGACCCAGACTTCCCTGGGTGGCCCATATTTATGAAGTTTTTGAACAAAGGAGGGAGATACTGAAGGAAATGCAGGAATCTGGGCAGGTCTTGGGGATCCCTTTAAGGACTTCTCCAAGTAATACTTTCTGTTAATTTAGGAGGACTATGTCAACTCCAGGAAGCCCCTCACTGCAGGAGAGAGGTGCCTGCAGCTACAGTCTTGTTTTAGTTAATTGGGGCTGGAGCCAAAAGTCCTCAACTGTGGCCTTATCTTGTCCTTTGAGGCACCCCAACTTCACAGGCCAATACAGGCCTCAGCAGGGACCAGCGACTCATAGAGGTCACTTACTATGAATGTGCTGCCCATCTCAAGAGAAAAGCCTAAGCCTTGGGCAAACTCACACATAAACATGGAAAGCCAATTGGTTAATAGAAAAGCCTGCTCAGAGCCACTTCATAGTGATCTCCATCACATACGTACATATGTAGGTAGGAGTATCTATGTCACTTGTGTGTCTGAGTGTCATCAGATCCTGCAACCTGAATATGAACATTAAAGTTTTGAAATATATTTAAAAGCACTCAGTTGCAACAGCCAAAAGTATTTCCAAGCAGAGCCATGCCATGTCTCCTGGAGAGCAAAATTATTCCAGTTGAGAATCACTGAACTGAAATTGGATTGTAAATCAATGAGGAAGAAAAATATAACAAATAATAAGAATAGCAAGCTATCAAATTCCTTCTAAATGTATCACTCCTGGTACCAAATTCTTACTGAGAATAGCTAAAGAATTGAATTAGTTTTTCATGTATATTTATTAATTCTGCTTTGGAATTTATGCATTCCTCTTTCTCAAATCTCAGACAAGTAACAGTTCCTCAGTGACTTTTATGCTGATGACTATGTCTTAGCCACTTTCTGCTGCTGAACACAATACCCAACACCCAAAACTTACAGGAGGAGAAGTCTTTCTTGGCACACAGTTTCAGGCTATGATTGGCTGGCTCCACAGCAGAAGCAGGATGGCAGAGGAACATGGCAAAGGAAAAGTGGTTCAATACATGGCAACCAGAAGCAGAGAGAGGAGGGAGGAGTCAGGAACAAGAACATACCTTCCAATTCACATCTCCAGTGACTTACCTCCAACCAGGTCTACCGCATCACAATATGTTCAGCTCTACTCATCAGTGAAGGAATACTGTGATACTTACATGACTGTATAATACCACAGAAAGCAAATATGAGGAGTGTCCATAGACAAATAGCATTCTTCTTCTTCTTCCTAAAAGGCAAAATGATGAATAATACAAAATGCAGTGGATGAATATACTGACAAGTATCTTACCTCCATGAGCCAATCACCTTCCACATACGTGAGAAATTAGTTGGATGTTTTAGATCTAAACCATAATAGTCCATATTTGTATATATTTTAAAGTTAATTTAGTCTATTATATATTTTTTTCTTTTAGGAAGAAGAAGAACGCTATTTGCCTGTGGACACTACATATATTTGTTTCCTGTGGTATTATACAGTTAGGTGAGTAACATGGTAAAAAACACAAAGCTAATCCTTTTAGAGGATCTAGCCTCAACTTTTAATTAATCAAAACTGAATTACCTATATTATGGTTTTCAGACAAGCTTGCTTTCATTCACCAACTGAGATAACCTTATATATGACACCAAAGTAATACTAAATAGTAAAATGATGAAAATAACAATAGCAACCACTATTTAAATGCATCCTGTGTCTACATGTCCATACTTTATGGACATCGACTTTCTCATTTTTATAATAATCACACATGTATTATTATATATATTCAATAGAAGAAGAAGTGTAAACTTGGGTGAGTTCAGTAATTTAGAAGACTTACTTCTAAATTTTGGTAATTACAAATAAAACTGCTATCAACATCCCTCTTAAGTTTTTTGCATGCATATGAGTTTTCAACTCCTTTGAGGAAATACCAAGGAGTGCTATTTATTGCTGGATGGTATGGTGCTTGTTTAGTTTTGTAAGAAACCACTAAACTGAAGAGCCTTCTAAAGTGTCTGTTTTATTTTGTATTCACATCACATCAGCAGAGTTGCTGGTGCTCCACATTCTTGCAAGCATAACTGGTGTTAACAGTGTTCTCCTCCTTTAACATTCTGTTGACTATTTGGGGTCTTTTTACCTCTCCAAACAAAGTCAGCTTTTCAATATTTACAAAATAACTTGTTGGGATTTTGATTGGGACTCATTGAGTGTGTAAATCAATTTGCAACAATTGACATCTTGACAGTATTGGCTTTTTCTATCCATGAGCATGGAATATCTATCTGCTTATTTACTTCTTTGATTTGTCGTCAGTTTTCTAGTTGTCCTTACATAGCTCTTGTATACATTTTGTTAGATTTTGACCTAAGTATCTTGTTTTTTGGAGTCTGAATGTAGATGATACCAAATTTTTGATTTGAAATTTCATTTCTTACTGCTGGTATATAGGAAAGCAATTGACTTTTGTATAGCATTGTACCCTGTGACCCTGCTATAGTTGCTTATGAGTCAAGGAGATTTATGTTTGATTTTGGTTATTTATTTCACAAATAATCATGTCATCTGCAAATGAAGGTCGTTTTCTTTCTTTCTTTCTTTCTTTCTTTCTTTCTTTCTTTCTTTCTTTCTTTTTTAAGGAAGGAAAGGTTTATTTAGTTCACAGTTTGTGGAAGTTTCAGTACATAGAAGGTCAGTTTATTTCTTCCTCTCCACACAGTATGTCTTAGTCTCTTTTCTTTATTGTATTAACTTAGACTTCCAGTATGATGTCGAAAAAGAGTGTTAATAAGAGACATCCCTGCTTTCTTTCTGATTTTTCTTTCAGCTTCCTGAATGTTTTTGTAGATTTTTAAAATCAATTTGAGGAAGTTATATCTCTATTCACAGTTTGCTAACAGTGTTTTTTATGAATGGATGATGGGTTTTATCAGATACTTTTCTGCATCCATCAATGCAATCCTGAGATTTTTCTTTAGCCTGTTGATACGATGCTTTACATTAATTGTTTTTATATTGAACCAGCTTTGTATGCTTGTGATTAACCACAGTTGGACATGATGTCTAATTCTTTTTGTACATTTTTTAAAGTGATTTGAAAATATTTTTTGAAGATTTTTGTATCTAAGTCTATAGTTTTGTTGTAATGTCTTTGTCTAGTTTTGGTATTGGGATGATTTTGTTTCATAGGGTGAGTTAGGAAATATTCCTTTTTCTATTTTCTGAAAGACTTTACAGAGAATTGGTATGATTTTTTTCCCTAAATATTTGGTGTAAGTCATCAAAGAACTTGTCTAAACCCAGGCATGTTGGCTTTGAGGCCAGGTATTATGATGTCTCCAGCTTTGTTCATTTTGTTCAGTATAGCCTTAGTTTTTAGGGGTCTTTTGTGGGTTTAAGTGAATTTTAAGATTTTTTATTTCTGTGAAGAATGACATTAGTATTTTTATGGAGATTGTATTGAGTCTGTAAATCACTTAAGGTAAGATTGACATTTTAACAATATTAATTCTTCCAGTTCATGAACAGGAAATGTCTTCAGTGTGTGTGTATGTGTGTGGTGTGTGTGTGTGTGTGTGTGTGTGTGTGTGTGTGTGTGTGTGTACACGCATACTCTTAGTTTCTTTCAGCAATGTTTTGTAATTTTTATTGTAGATATAATTTCATTTGCATCTAAAAGTTTTAAATTCCTAAAACCTTTTGTATGACCCAGAAGCAACTACTGTACTATTTGCCATTTTTCATCATTGAATTCAGAATTGACTACATAATTTGCGGGTCCTGATGGAAAATAAAAATATGGGAACTTTTGTTCAAAAATTGAGAGAAATAATGTTAAAGGTATTTAATATAAATCTTGTTCTTTGGATAGTCCATGTTATTATCAGTTATAATGCTTTTTATTTATAATATAATGTCAGCTTCCATTATAATATAATGTCAGCTTCATTATAATATAATGTCAGCTTCCCACTAGTTTTTTCTCTAAATAGATCCACATATCATACCCCAGTCAATGATGAGGTCTAGAAAGCTCAGTCAGGTATCTTCCCTTTCTATGAGCCTACTACCTCAACTTATGGCATATGGGAGGCTCGCAAGTTACTGCAACCTCTGCAGTTACACATGCTAGATATTTGGATTGGAGATGGGCAAGATCAGAACTCCAGGAACTGCATCATGATACTGCCAGCCAGGAATAGGACAGCTTCCTCTAAGTCTTACTCCAAGATGGCACTGGGCACACATGCTTTATACTGACTATTCCTACACCAGAGCCAAGGCCCTCACCCAAGGAAGAAGCCATTTGAGAATGTGGTGAGAAGGGGATGGCCAGTGGGGACCACAGAACCAAAGCTTGGAAGGATGAATGGCAAAGAACCTGTCCCAGGGAGGCATAGAGCAGGAGTCAGGACCGTGAGTGAGCCAAAGCCTCAATCCCCCAACACATGCTCCAGTGTCCTGTCAGATTCATTTACAGAACTCAAGTTCAAAGATAGGTTCACTAAAATTTCAAGACAAATAATGCAGGGCACAGAGCTCTCCTGAGCGCTGCCTCTTCCTGAGGCTCTCTAAATCCACTGACTGTGTTTACTGCAGAACCAATGGTCTGGCACTAAGGAAGAGAATTCTGGGAACAAGGATCACGTTAGTAACTAAACTCTCTTGCTTTCTTTTCTCTCTCTCCCTCTCCATCTCCTTTCCCCTCTTCATTTCCTTCTCTCTTTGACCTCCAGGGAAAATAGGAAATACAATACAGAATAGATTTGAAACAGATTAGAACACAGAATAGGAAAGGTGAATAATCCAGGAGGGCAGATTAATTGCCAAATTCAGTGGAACTTTTAGTGGTCCTCTTGCTACTTGATTTCTATACCACCTTAATGTTACAGATCACTCATTTCTCCTTAAAATGCTTTCATTCTTTTATTCATCTAATACCACAATATTCTATTTTCATAATGATTTTTTCCTTGTGTTTTTGTTTTTTCTTTGTTTTTTGGTCATGTATCTTTACCTTCAATGTTTGTTCAGGGTTCTCTCTGGTGCCTTCTTATTCTAAACTTCAGTCTGAACACCTGCTCAAAAAAGCCAAGCAAACTGATATAGACACAGCAGAATGCTGTTGAGATTGCTTTTTCCATGGAAATCAGGATCATCACATTCACTGGTATTGATTCTTTGTCTACAAAGTTCCAATAAAGCTTTCTTTTATTATTTCCACATTTCTTCTTTGGTCTTCAAATTTTTCTTCACAGATGCACTTGTAAATCATTCAGTAGCCCACTTTTCTCCTGTGCCCCTGACAGGTAGTATAGCACAAAGCCAGTCAGATCAGCCTTGGGACCAGGGATCTTTTTTATCACTTGTGGACTTTATTGAATTGTGTTCACAGGGGGCATAATTTACCCATCAAGATTTACTGTATTTTGAGGGTGGGGGTACAGCTCAGAGGTAGAGTGCTTGCCAAGAATGGACAGGGCTCTGGGTTCAATCCCCAGTACCACACGCACAAAAAAATTCTAGTTCCTATTTTCAGCAGCATTCTAAAACATTGGGGTAAACATGTGAAATGTTGTATTCAGAAACTCACTCAAGATCCATGTGTTGATTCTCAAATAATTTCCATTCTGTTTTTGTGCACAGTGTACTAGAAATATGTAGTAACCAGTAAATGGAAGAAAACAGCCCTGAGGTTTATTGAGATTATATGATAAAAAGCATGCACAGATGACCTTAAAGTGAAAAGCCCTACTTTCCAAAAAGGGTGCAAGTAAACATACAAGTGAATATTTTGCCTTTCAGAGTTGGCACACAAAGGATTTGTAGTGCTAAAGAATGGCTTTATATTTCACACAAATTACAATGTGTAAACTCTCTAGGCTTTTATGTGAAATATCAAATTTTTAAAGAGAATGAGTCATACAACTTTGCTTGTGTGAACTTGCAGTATTGTTGAGGAAGAAGGTAGATGCAATTCCTGAAGTGATAAATGATTGTCAATAAATATATTGATAAATAAATAGACATATGCAAATTTTGTTTTTATTTCTACATTCAACATCCAATTGTTTATATATGTATAATGGAAAATAAAAAGAATATCCAAACATACATTGAAAGCAAAACATTCAAACTAACATAGAATATGCTATTTATTAAAATGTGCTTCCTCTTTTTTCCCCAAACAGAAATATGTTTGAAACTCTTACCCAGGTAAAATTTTTTTTCAATTTTATATATCCTTCATAAATGCTAATATATTATTTCCCTGCTATTTTCAATATTTATCAGATAAGAAATTTTCCAAAATAATTTTGCAATAAAATTTCCTTAGAATGATGGTACCCAAAATATGTTTTAGGATGCACGGGGGCTCCCTGAGACCTATTTGGAGGGGATGCATGAGGTCCATGCTTTTCCAGCTGTGCATCTGTGTGAGGATGGAGTTTTTTCCCATACGCTTCCACCAAAACAGCATACACCAGGCAGCAGAAACAGACCTCCTATTGTTACAGATACTAAAAAGATTTTGAAAATATTAAATTTTTTAATTTTGGAAAATATGGTTTTTTTGCATGGGATATGTTGGTTAATCTAGAATGGGTTTATTATAGTTTTAAAAGTAACTAAACACGTATATACATATCTTAAAATGTTCTCAGTTTTAATTTGTTATATATTATATGAAAAAGGTTTTAATACTCTGGAACAAAGAATCATTAGATATAAAGTGGAGAGATATATTTGAAATTTTAAAAATTGAAATAATGTGATGTTTGGAAATTGTAGCACTATATAGATATTTCAATTTTCTAAAAGTAATAATTTACTGGAACAAGTAGTAAAATTAATAGTTAACATTAGCCTATAGTGGACCTAAGCGGCTGAGTGAGCCTGTGTCCATAAGGTATTCCTACCCCAAGTCCCAATGGCATTATTGAATTATTTTTAAGGCTACGATTGTACCATTGCCAAAAACCAAGAAAGAGTATTATCAGTAAATAAGACATTTTATGACAGAAATATAAAACAGAATGTCCAGATGTAGAATATATAAACAGACCCAAATAATACACAACAGCCTTCATCTCACTCAAAATACGTAGAAGTGCCTGCAAAACTGTATATACGTGTGTGTGTGTGTGTGTGTATGTGTGTGTGTGTGTACAATTTTAATGCACAAAGGAATTTCTTGGTTGTCAGAAATAGTTAAGGAATATAAAGCCAGAGCTGTGCCATTGAATACTGAACTAAGGATATTAGAACAGAATATAAACTGTACTGGAGAAGGAAGTTCTGTTTTTATGTTTGGGTGAGACCAGGAAGTGAAGCCTCCAGCCTATGGGAGAGGCAGGAGCTGAAACTAACAAGGGAGAGAGGGAGTGATGAAAGAAACTGTGAACTAGTACACTTATATGTGTGTAGGTGCAAAAGAATTTGCTAAGGACATTGATATAATATTGGAAAACTGAAAAAAATCCATTATATCAAAGTAATAAAGAAGAAAATACATGATTATATCAATAAACTATTTAACAGTAATTCTTTTTTTTTTTGTTTGTTTTTTTTGTTTTGTTTTTTGTTTTTCTCCGGTACCGGGAACCGAACTCACAACTTTGCATTTGCCAGGCAGGCGCTTTTGCCGCTGAGCTAAATCCCCAGCCCTTAACAGTCATTCTTAATGAAAACAAACATAAAATAGTTATAGAAACAACTCATTTCTAACAAAACATTTATTTCTCACCAAATAGCTAATAATGTTCGTAAATTATAGATGCTTTTAATTCAGTTAAGATCAGGAACTGGACAGATATGCTCACTATCACTATGGTTATTTAATATCTTAAATGTGACAGTGTTTATCTGAAATACTCAAGATTAACTTATTTTTAAAAAAATTCAACATCTTACAGAATAATATAATTATATTACTAGATGTAGAAAAGGAAAGTATAACAAGACATAATATCCATTTGTGTTTTAACAACAATAAACAACCTTCAGCAAACTAGGAATTGAAAGCAGCTTCTTCAGTTTGATAACAGGCATTTATGATAGCTGGCAGTTAATCTTATCGTGTACTGGGAAGATTGAAGGATCTTCACCTAAGATTGAGAAAAAGGCAAGGAGTTTCCTTTCACCAGAGCTGTTCAGTATCATAATGGAAACTATCCAGTGCAATAAAATAATAAAAATAAAAAAAATTCATGCAGATTAGATAGAAAGAAGTAAAGCTATCTTTATTTGCATGTGATATGTATATGTAGAAAAGTTTAAGACCTCTACTAAAACATAAAAACCAAAGCAAAAAACACCTTACTAGAATTTAAAAGCAAGTTTCAGATAGTTGAAGGATACAAGATCAATACACAAAAATCTGTTCTGTTTTATATACTGCACTTGTGATAAAGCATGAAAATATCACAAATAATAGCCTCAAAATATATTAACTACTTTAAGAAATTCTCACAGTATGTGTCTTTGACCTGTCCACTAAAAATTATAAAACATTTTTTAGAAAAATTAAGGACTTACATACATGTTCAAAGGTCAGAAATTCGATATTGTTAAATTGTCATTTTTTATTCTAATTCATTTACAGAGTCAACCCAATTCCAAGTTAAATCCTAACAGTTTCTCATAGAAAATGTTTCCCTGGTTGGAAATTTTATATGGAAAAGCAGAGGGTTTAGACAAGCCAAAGACAAGCCAAAAGATCTTAAAGGAGAGAACAATGTTAGAAGATTTACCTTATCTCTAGACTTAGAAAAGCTACAATACTCAGACAGTGATAATTGTGTAAAGTTAAATAAATGTCTCAATGGGATAGATAGAAATATATTTATACATATGAGGTCAAATTATTTTTTAAATTATAGCAAATACATACAACATAAACTTTATTGTTACGGGGACAGTTCAGAGTCAGATGATAGCACTTAGATTAAATAAAAGCAGACAAACACAAAATAATGGAAAATATATACAAGTAGAGAGATGGATGAAAATTTGAGTATTTCATTCATATCAAAACCTATACATGTCAGCCATTCTGAGAAAGAATCTATAGCTCTAAATTACTTTAAGGTTAAAAAAACTAAAAGCCATTTACTTCTCCTCTTAATGAATTATAAAAAGAACAATGAAAATAAAACAAAACATATTATTAAATCAGTAAGATGAAAGTAAAATAGTTCAAAGTATAAATATATTCAAGAACCTTTTTAAAGGACCGGTAAAATAGATAAGCATCTCAAGATACTGATAAAAGTAAACATATACACAAATAAGAATGAAAAGGGAAATATAATCACAGGTATGGAAATGATATAATACATACAACCCTTCAACAATACTTTATGAGGCTAGATGGAAGATTTGCTTAGCAATATATACTCACAAAGTTGACCATAGAAAAAGAACACTTGACCAGCCCAAATTCCATCAAAGACCTTGGAAAGCCAATATGTTAATGTTTTTAAAGGCACTAAGCTCAAATGGTTTCATCCAAGTTCTTGTTAACCATTAAAAACAAAATGATGTTTATGATAGTTCAACATTCAGCAAATACTGTCTCATCTCTACCAGTTACTAGCCTTTGTGCTGGGCACGCTTGAACAAATAAGACAAAATCCTTGCCCTCATTGAAACTATTACAGGTCATTTTAAAACATTATAGAAAGACTCTCATTCAATTTACAAATCCAGAATAACTAAAATCTAAAATTTTATATGATTCAAAAATTATTGATATCTCTTAATTTTTATATATATGCAAATTTTTGAATAAAAGAACAATAATATCCAGAAGACATCAAAACAATGATGTATCATGATTCATTAGTATTCCAGGTATAGTTCAGTAGTTACATATCAAGGAATCTTTCATTATTACCCATCAGATCATTAAGATAAAAGACATAAAACATAACATAATAAAATGAATTAAGGTATGAGAGATACATGTACCTACCCCCCACAATGAATATAATTATTGTGTCCTGCAAACATGTACTGACTAAAAAAATCACAATAGTTAGAAGATTATGACTAAAAAGAAGTCTACAACTAGCCTCATCATACAGAGAAACAAAGGCAAAGAGAAAAGGGAAAATCACTGTTTTTAAAAGCAGGAAAAAAATCACTAGGAATTACAGAATATTTGAATACACTTACCAAATGGAAACATTCCATATATATATATATATGGAAT